TTTTTTTCCTCGAGGTCAGCCATTTAGCTTAGCTCATAGCTTAGCTTCTCATCTTAGCTGCTTTAACGATCGAAAAACACGATTTTTGGACGGTTAAAACAAATTTTAAAGAGAAAGGAGGGAGTCAGTGAAGAGAACCGGAGTTGAGCTTTTTGTCATCCAGTGTCTTCAGTAGAAAGAGAGAGACACAAAGAAACAAAGCCGATAGATGAAAAATGAGTTTAATTTTCATTTATCATGCAATTAATTGATTTATTGTTTATTGCGACAGACCTAATTTCAAACAATATTATCGTTTATCTCAATATTTTCGGAGACAATTAATCGCCCACAAAATTTATCGTGACAGGACCTAACTTGCTATTAAAAGCAGTCTGGTTTACGAAAACTAAAGCTAGCCGCTGTTATGGTTGATTCTTTTTGAGCTCTTTTAGGCTGCAGGTTGTTGTATTCATGTCTCACCTCTGTTTCCTCAGATTCGATACGGGACTCCAGTGGACGGGTGCTGGTCCATTGTCAAGCAGGCATCTCCCGCTCGGCCACCATCTGCCTGGCCTACCTGATGAAGAGGAAGCGTGTCCGTTTGGACGAAGCGTTCGAGTTCGTGCGCCGGCGTCGCAGCATCATCTCCCCAAACTTCAGCTTCATGGGGCAGCTGCTGCAGTTCGAGTCGCAGGTCCTCGCCACCTCCTGTGCGGCCGAGGCGGCGGCCACGGCGAGCCCGCTGCTCGGACCCAAGTCCACGACGGCCACCGCTTCGGTGACGGCCGCGCCGTCCTCTCCGTTTATTTTCAACTTCCCGGTGTCGGTGGTGAACCCTGCCTACCTGCACCACAGCCCCATCACGACCTCCCCTGGCTGCTGATGCTCGGCCTTCCCCTGACACTGAGTGAGCACAGACTGGGCTTGCTATTGGCTGGAAGCGCTGTCAGTCTCGCGGACCGCTGCAGTATGTACACGCTTCCGCAGCAGGGAGGTGAGGAGCGTCACGGTGCCTGATTCAGAACACACTGAAAAGACTTTTATTTTGAAACCAGCCAACCTGTCCGCTCATTAATTCCATTTGACCAAAAATAGGATGGCTTTCCAAACTTTTTTTTTTAAATAATAAAGTTCACTTCGTGTAACGTGGACTCACCTTCTTCCAACGTGCACAGAGGCACACGGACACACAAAATCTAACACAGAGAGGCCCGAGCAGCGCACACATTCATGACTGAATGAGCTCAGTATGAAGATGGCTTGTTGCTATGGAGACGAGGTCTTTAGGAGAGGAGATGGACACAGGAAGGAAGGAAGGAGGAATTTTAAGCACCCACTCTTTTTCTCTTTGGGTGTCCCTCCTGCTGCCGGACAAAAGAGACGGAGGAGGAAAAAAAAGAGAGAGGAGAGAAGGAGACGGTGACAGAAAGCAGGAGCCTCTTCAGTGACGGGTGTTCAGCCGGGGATCCGACCGGAGCTTCCTGTCCTTCATACGTCCTCTTCCTCCCCCCCCCACTCACATACGCCTCCTCTCCTCCTCATCTCTGCCTCTCATCTTTGGCCTGCCTTTGCTTTTCGTCTTCTCGCTTGAAAGGCTGAAAGGAATCAAATTAGATGCCAAATGAATGCCAGGGCCCTTGAAAATGGACTGGGAAACCCCTGAGATATCGTAGGAAAGCCCTGTATTGCATCACAGCTAAATGTATTTTGATGAAAGGGCTGAAAAAGATGAAAATGAAGTGGTACAATACTTTTTTTTTTTTTGTTAGGACATTTTGTTGTACGGGAATTGGGAGTAGTATGGTCCAGGAAGACATCAGCTGGTGGTTTTGCATTTTTACCTTTCTAAAAATTATGTATCTTTAACCGTCGACACCTGGGTTTCACTTCTCTTCAGAACTTCCTGAAATAAACTTCACATCGGCTCCTGTTGGTGCCTTGGAAATTGTTGTAGTTAAGAAGCAAAAATGTTTGTCTTCAGTGGACGGTCCTTTAAGTGTCTGTGCCTTGTTCATGAAGGTATCCTCTGGATTTAGGCATCAAGAAAGAAAGCAAATTCCTGAATGTTGGTCAGACTGACGA